TATTGGACTAATTATTCATACCTCTCCGGTAAGTATTATTTATATTAAGTGTTGACTTTTGATATTATTTAAAGTCGAAATCGATGTCGGAAAAATTAATGCACATACTATAACTTGCAAATTATGTTGCCGTATTGGTTAAATTGTGCATATAATATTATATTATATTTTACTGTAGTGACTGTTTATTTAAATATTTTTGTGTGTATACGGCAAAATCTGAAAAGTACACCTATTTCATCAAAACCAATCAATTTATAACTGCATTTGAAGTCAAGTGAAGTAGATTTTTTATCAAATGTCGGTAAGTGTAGATATTATTGTTATTCATAATAAATTATTCTAAAATCAATGGTTGTATTATAAATGATAAGCATTATATTTCTCGTTAAAAATTGTATGATTTGTATTTTGTATTTAAGTTAGTGGGACAGTACCCGCTGCCCAGTGGTCTATGATCATGAAAAATGTTATTATAATCGTTTCTATAACATAGAACAGTCTCAAAGCTTTCACCCACTTCCTTGAAAGTTGAAGATGTTTGTAGTACATATATTTAATCATTTTAAAGTGTATAAAACAAGTCACAATAATAATACAATACAATCAATCAATCAATCAATCATATCGCAGTCTAATCTCTAGTAATAAGTATTAATAATAGACCTTATATAATAAAATATTAGGTATAATATAATATTTTTACAGTAATAATATATTATTATCGTATAGCTGGTAAATAAACATCATTTTGTTATTTGATTACGATTTATCAGTTGGGAAAACCCTATAACGGCTATACCCACGAACAACGAGTCGTTAATCATTAGCTTTGTTCGTTTTGACAAAAAGTGTACACTTTTTCAGTAATAGTGTACACTGAAGCGTTTGTTTTGAAAAAGTGTCAGCGCACACCAGGGTTGCCATTGGTACGAGAATTCTCGTACTCGTACGTTAATTCGTAGACATTGTACGAGGTACGAGGACGAATTTATTCTCGTACACTTTTGTAGGAGAATTAATTAATTATGAATGTATTTCGAAAATTTATACGGGTAAAATGATATTTCTCGAAAAAAAAAACAAATAAACAAATTCTACAAAAAAAAAAATATTTTTATATCATTATACAGACTATACATCTATACAGATCTATATTGACTAAAATCTTAGTCCGTGGCTCATGCTCATGATAAATAAATATATTGATAAAGTGACAACTGATCAACTGATGGTTCATTTATATTATCATGGCAGAAAATACATATCTAAAAATAAACCAAATGAGGTTTTCCTTAGTTATTGAAAAAAAAATGGTTTTGAACGTGTTTTATTAATAAGTTGTTATTGTTATTCAGTTATTGTTACTAGTTACTTGTTAGTGTGTACTGTTACTGTAGTTATAATAATTTAATTTAGTGTGTGTCTCTGACCTCAGCGTGTCTGCCGTGACAGTGTCTCTGTAACATTTTCGATATCAATTGTTATTAAATTGAGGTAGTTACGTGTTTTCTGTGAGTTATTATATCATTATAAATTATGGCGTCATCATCAAGTCAATCAAAACGAGGTAATGAAGACATGGATGATTTGGATACTATTGTCCAGGCAAGAAATTCTCGTAAACACCGCAGTCAAAAATTCCGTCTAGAATGGTGTAAAGATGACGAACTAAGAGATTGGCTTTTACCTGATAAGAATGACGTTCATAAAGCTAGATGCAAATATTGTAACGTACAATTCGTGGCGGAATTAACAAACATAAGAGGGCACGGCAACGGTAAGAAACACAAAAGTTTATTAGCTTCCTTAACTTCTGGTACCAAGACCCAAAAATCAATTTCGACATTCTTTACAAAAAACATAAGTTCCGATTTAAAGCTGCAAGTGTCAAGAGCAGAAATTAAAATAGCATCATTTGTGGCGGAACATAATATATCGTTCTTAGCCACAGACCATCTAACAGAAATGCTCAAAGAATGTTTTCCTGACTCAATTATTGCTAAAAATTTAGCAATGAAAAGAACAAAATCAACAGCTATAATTAAAAATGTGATAGGATTGTCACACAAAGAATCATTAGCTGTGACACTAAGGAAAACTAAATTTAGTGTTCTTACCGACGAATCAACAGATATTGGGACAGTTAAAACTGCATGTGTTGTTATAAGGTTGGTTATTGTTTATTAAATGTATTTAGTTTATAGTTAATTCATATAATAGATAGGTACTTCAGAAATTAAATATTTACTAGTGTATTATTTCACCCAAGTTATGTCATATAAATATAAAATTTGACTATGATGTTTATTCACTTATTTAATATTGTAACAAATTTACTTAATGTGTTTATAGATATTTTGATGAGAAATCTGGTCACGTTGAAAGTGTTTTTTGGGATTTGCATAAAATATATGATTCATCTAATCCAGGAAATGCCACTGCTGAACACTTATATAATGGCTTAATAAATTCCTTGATATCATTTGATATATCAAAAAATAATATAATTGGATTTGGATTGGATTTGGATGGATGCAACGTGATGATGGGCGAAAATAATTCTGTTGCATCACGATTTAAAATCAACTGCCCAGGTAAATTAAATTTATTACATATTAAAAAATTATTTATTTATATTTTTTTATTTACTTGAATTATGTAAGGCATTTACGTGATTACATGTGTATGTCATTCCGCACATTTATGTGCGAGTGAAGCATGCAAAGAACTTCCAAGGTCTTGTGAAGACATGGCAAGAAACATTTATAACTTTTTAAAGTCAAGTTCAAAAATACAATGTAACCTACAAATGTTTCAAACATATTTGAACCTTAAGCCCCATAAGATATTACATCCTTCTCAAACTAGATGGTTTTCGTTGAATTCTGTTGTTGAACGATTACTAGAGCAGTGGGATGCTCTAAAGTTATACTTCAACGAAACATATCTTAGTGATCGCTTAATATCATCAGAACATATTTATCTTGCCCTTCACGATCCATTTGTAAAATTATATTATTACTTTTTAGATTGGGCACTTCCTAAATTTACAAGGTATATTAAATATATATTCTATATATACACTATATTGAAATTAATAATCAATTAATATTATTATTGATGGTAGGTACAAATGTATTAATTATTTATGACTTGCAGATTCAATCAATATTTTCAAACCCAACAAGTAGTCATTACCGACTTGCATGATAAAATAATTTTGTTTATACCAAGATATTCTTTTATGCTTTTTAAAAAGAGATTATGTAATGCAAACACCATTGGATCAAATTAATCCAAAAAACGGAGAAAAGTTATTAACCGATAGACAGTTATATCTTGGTGCTCAAGTTATAGAACATATTGATGATCCATGTATTGTTGCACAATCAGCTAGGAGAAAAGAATTTTTTGACAGGTTAAATCAATATTTTTATAGGAATACTTTAGATACTACAAAAATAAAATAAAATAATAAGAATGTTTAAACTTATACCTGTTTCAGATGTCGTAAATTTCTACAAACATCAACAATATAATTGAAGAAAAGATATAACATGGCAGATCCAATTCTTTCCAAACTCCAGGTTCTCAAACAAAGTAATGCGTTATCAATGAGCTTTAGGGAGAGTGTCAAGGGAACTTCCCTGGTCCCATTAATTAAGTTACTGCCTTGTATAGTTCCAACAAATGATGTTAAAAAAATTCAATTAATTGATGATCAGTGGAGGCGATTGCCATTAAGTATTGCACAACTACCAGAGAATATTGAGGACGAAAAAGAAATTGATGTTTTTTGGTATATTGTACTTTAAACATGTTACTTAGTACTTGAAGTTAAAAATTTTATGTTTTTATAACAGGTGGAAGATTAAGGAAAAAGGTTTAGATAACGAAGCAGAATGTTTCACAGAACTTTGTGACTTTGCACTGAACATTATTAGCTTGCCTCATTCTAATGCAGATTGTGAACGCATTTTTTCAAGTGTCAACTGCATAAAAACCAAATTGAGATCCCGACTGCTTACTGAAACCGTTGGTGGTCTACTACATACTAAGCAATGCATTAAAGGTGGTAGAGAATCTGGTTTAAATTGTGTCAACTTTGAACCTACTAAATGTATGTACCAAAAAATGGCACACAATACACTGTACACATCTTCTGATACCAATGTTGCTAATGACATCACAGAAGACATTATTATTTAATACCTATAGGTAATTGACTGTATTTTATTGTGTGTTTAACTATCACCTTCAATATACGATTTTATTGACTATAATGTATCTTAAACTGTAGTTACTAGTTTATTAAAACTTGCAAACCATCCTAAGTAAATTGATCAGTTAATTACACAATACACCATATTCGTTTTGAGCAAAAACATTTATTGCATTTAGAACCATCTTGATAAGGACTATCATTTTTTCCTCATTTTATGCCACGGTCTTAGATTTATGCTATATCTTGATGATTAGACACTGATATTATTGATAATGATATCACAATATAGTATTATCATGTATTATCACAGATATATAAAACAATATATATATATCTTTTATATATCTGTGTGTATTATACATGATATTATCATGTACGAGAATTTATATGACATGTACGAGTATTTAAATTTTTTGATACGAGTATTCGATTTGAAAGTGTGGCAACCCTGGCGCACACACTGTTTGTTTTAAAATAGTGTGGGTTTGGTGTGTACACTATCCACACCAACTAAAGTGCAAGTGTCGTATTGGATTTTAGGTGTGGAGCCATGTTATCATAAATAAATTTTCTTATCACTTGCTGAAATTACGAAATTCCGTAATTACTAATTAGTTTATAATTACTAATTAGTTTAGATTGTTTAGAATAATAATTTAAAATTTAAAACCAAATTTACAGAATAAATAGTATATAGAATAATAGTAGTACTATTTAAATTGTATAATGAAAGTATTTAACAGTGTGATATGCCGTACCAATGAAGGTAGTGTTGTTTTAGATGATGACGGTTCAGTAGTATGCAAATGTGATGGTAAGTATAAATGATTTGTAAAAAAACTAATTTAAATAATAGTCAAACAAGTAAATTATTAAAGTTAATCAATATTTTTTAATATAGATGGAACTATGTTTACTATTTCATTGGATGTCATAGACTGGGAAGCTGACACTTTACAGTACCAAAACGGTGATGATATTTACTTTATTAGTACTAAAACGACTAAAACCACATCTATAGTTAAAACCATTCCAAGAACTAATGAAATTGAAACAAAAGTAAATATGTCTCTAAAATTAATTGTAAAATGAATACAACCCATTATATTATTTTTTTAAATATTAATTAAGTGAAGTTTATTATTTTTACTCAAACAGAATGATGAACTAAATGAATTATCCTTTGACAAAGGTGAGAAAAGAAAAAAAACCCCATATGTGTGGACTAATTCTGTCACAAAACTATTATTAGAGCTATATCAAACATATCGTCCAATGGTAATGGAAAGAAAGATAAAAACATTTAAAAAAATGTGGGAAAAAATTACAATGGAATTACAAGCAAAAGGTTATGGTGTTGATATAGAACAAGTTGAAAATCGATTTAAAACCTTAAAAAGAAACTATGTTGATTCAAAGCACCATAACAAGCAAACTGGGAATAGCAGAAAAATATGTGCATATGAAGAGTATGTATTATTATTTTTATAAATTCATCAGTTTTGTAATATATTTAAATAATAGTCTTTTAACATTACTTTAATACTTATCTAATAATGGATATGTTGCAACTTTTCATTCATTTAATTAAATATTTGTTGATAATAATTATTACAAAACAAACAAATAGACATTTTAGTAATAAGTGTAATATGTATAATTATATTTTATATATTTTTTTGCATAATAATAGTGAATTGGAAACTATACTTGGGAAACGTCATAACATTAATCCCACTGTAACTAGTGATAATATGGGAATTAATATATTAAAAACCAATACTTGTGATAGGTAATGTCAGTAATATAATAGTACCAATTTTTATAATTAATTATTTGTAATTTTTTTATTTTAGGGACATATTAAATGTACCAGATAGCGAAGAATTAAATGACTCCACCTCTTTTCCTTCTCCGTGTTCTAGTACTAATAGTGAAAACTGTAACAAGAGACAGAAGACTATAACTACTGCCAATGGCTTACAAATTTGTAATAAAACATTAGAAGAATTGAAAAGTACAATATTAACTAGACACACTGAACGTTCTACTTTTGAAAATAAATTACTTGCAAAATATGATGACGACTCAGAAAAGGCAGAAATATTTCGTCAAAATATATTAAAAATGAAACAAGAAAAGCTTGATATGATGAAATTATTTCTGAACAAGTAATGTTATATGTTATAAATGTATTGTTATTTTTTGTTGTATTTGAAAAAGGATTCTCTTTTTTTTTATTATTTAAAATATTAAAATAAGAAAAGACTGATTGTTAAAACATTCAATAATATTAATGTATTAGTTTTGTTATTTTTATATATAAGTAATTATGCTTGGTTAGAAATGTTAACACAACAGCTATTTATATAGAAACTTAATTGTTTTATTGCTATTAAAATATTTAACTATTTTTCCTTATATTTATATTAAGTTTTAAAAAATGTTGCTTTATTATTTTGTTAAGTTTTCATATCTAAATGTTCTTACATTAATAATTATTTGTATTGACAAGAGGCTCAATTGTTTTTATTTTTATTAAACATTATAAAAACTGTTCAGTTATTAAGTATTATCCTATGTAAATGTATTATTATTTTTTTTTTTGTATTTAAAAAAGGATTCTCTTTTTTATTATTATTCAAAATCAGTTTTGTGTTTTTCATAATAAGTATTCATGTATGGTTAGAAATGTTAGCACACAAATCATCTCTTAAAAGTTTAACATATCGATCATTATATACAACTTCAATATTAAAACCATCTCCTTCATTTTCAGTTGTCAATGGTATAAAATCTTCTTGGGGAGGATCTTCAAACATTACTAATTCATGAGAACTAGTTAAGTTATGCAATACACAACAAGAATGAATTACTTTAACGATTCTTTCAACTTTTCGTAATTTAAGAAAATATAGTTGTCGAAATCTTTGCTTAAGTTCACCAAATGCATGTTCTACAACAATTCTACAAGAACTAAGTTTTCTATTGAATTCTTTTTGATTTCTTGTGAGGTGTCCATTATCTTTGTATGGTACCATGACTTCCTTGCGCAACGGATATGCACTATCAGCCAAAATATAATAATCACCTGCAATCAACATAAGTAATATAATATATAAATTATTATGTGTAATTTTAATATTTGACATTTTTACAGATATTGAATAAAATAATGCAACAATAATCAATATAATAAAATTTACCTGTACATAATTCTGGCAAGGACTAAAACAATGATGACTCCTTAAATACTCTAGCATCATGTACTGAGCCTGGATACCCAATAAATACATCTAAAAACTTTTTTTTTTCATTTACAAGTGCTTGCATCTGAATTGAACAATATTGTTTACGATTGATATATGAATCTGGGTCCACTTCTGGTCTATCAATTCGTATATGTGTTCCATCAATGGCTCCTGTGAAGTAAAACAAAAATAAATATAATACCATAATTGATTAGAGTTATTTTTTTAAATATGAGAATCTAAACAACCACTTATATAGTTATAATATTAACTGCTTACCAATTACATTGGGGAACTTTTTAGTTTGATAAAAGTGTTCTGCTGTTTGTTGTTTGTCTTCTGCATTTGGATGTTTAATTATAGTAGGTGATAATGACATTAGAAAATCAGCAACACGCGTTATAACATCAAATAGTCCACTTATAGTTATTCCAAAGCGATCAGCAACATCTCTATAACTAGAACTTTGATGACCAACAAACCATAAAAATGTGAGAATATGTTTCTCTGGAGTAAACGGTAATCGACCTGCAGGTTCTGTGAAGTAGTTATGTAAAAATAAAAATTAATGAACAACCATGAAACAATGGGAGAACTATTTATTGAGCAAAATGTACAGATCAATCAAACCTTTCAAATTGTTGTAAAAATGTGTTAACTCAAATCGACAAATAAGGTCTTTGGCAACAGATCTAGTAAGCCTAAAATGCATGATGAAATCTTTGTCACTGTAATTTGAGAATTTCTAAATAGTTTATTATTTTTACACGATCAATCCTTTGAATCCCATTTATCACAGGATGTACAATATTAACAATATCTTCCAGATCATCTACATCATACAAAGAGGTAAAAATTAGACACTCTATTAGTAGTAGACTCGGTAAGTGATTTAACAAAATTAATGAAGTAAGCTAAATAATCTTCCACGTCTACCAGTCTACCAAATAAGAAATAATATTAAAACTAGCCCCAAACAAGTCTGAGTATAGCCAAAAATATATAATTAAATAATAATATAAATGATTTATTTTGGTAATCACTGATGAATATTATATTTTAAATTATCTACCTTCATCATCAGCAGCACAATAAACAGCTGCAGGAACTTTACGTGCATTACAAACGGATTCTAAAACATCTTCGTCTGAAGACGAATCAAACAACTGCAGATAAATATCATCCATAATTTTAAATCTATCAAGTAAATCAGTTAATGAATAAATACAACTAAATTCTAAATTGGAATTTTGAAAATTTAAAAAAAATCGTTATCATTTATTTATTTACTATCTTTATCAATCAGCTGACTTTTCCACACCTGAAACGTTTGTTTTGAATCGGCGCACCACACACCATACACAACACTTCTACACCATAGTGTTAACACCAAGATTTTAAAACGAACAAAGCTATTGTGAACGACCGCCGCCGCTCCATTATATCTCACACTATCACATGGTTTCTATAAACAGTCTTGTGAGTGACAGACGACAGTGCCAAACCAATGCGACATTGCGACCGTGGACCGTGTTACTTGAAAGTTGAAACTGTGAAAGTGTGACTATTAAGTATTAACTACTTACATACCTACTTCAATCAAATTTAATTATAATTTTTTGTTTATAATTGCATCTCTTAGACATTTTCGGTAAGTACCTATTGTTTTTACTAAAAATATTATAGGTAGTAGGTAGTAGTAGTAGTAATGCTTAACAGATAATCTCGTGGTAAATACTAAATACATTTGGTTAAGTAGGTAGGTAATTAGAGACTAACCGGGGAGACAATTGAAATAGGTATTCAATATTGTTTGAGCAAAATATAGGATATATATATAATATATGATAAAATTGGTATTAGCTAACCGTACATAATTTATTAATTATTTAACATTACTTAGGTAGATATTGCAACAAATTAAATTATAGGTGGGTAGGTACTTATATTATAAACCCATAAATGTATTATAATTTATAATATTATACAATTACCTACCTATAAGTTCTATAGTTAGGTATTCTAATATTAGTAATTTATTCCTAACACCACAAGGTAGTATTATGTGTACAATTATTTTTTATTATATATACCTATTAATGAAATCTGTGATGTCAATATTGATGGTCATATATTCTGATGATACTTGTCTATTTTTTTTGCATAAGTCCTGTGATGGACTACAGAGGTTTTAGTCAAATCTTAAATAGTTTAAACCTCGGTTTAAACGATAGAAATCTACCTATAGTTTTAGATGTGGATAAATTTAAATCAACAAATATGTAGTTAATTATTATAATACTATTTCATTTTATTCTTTGACATTATCAAAATCTGTAGTTCACTTTTAATATAAGGCCCTTTTAATATATTTTTTAGAGGGTGATGAAATAGTTCTTGATACCCAACATTTTGAAACAGATGAAGTAGTTGAAGATATTAATCACTCTTTAATACTACCATTTAACAAAGAAAACAAATTAGGTAATAATAAAACAACTAAAAATAGTATTGGAAAATAATTTGTTACATACAGATATTATAATATTTTCTAGATTTAAAAGACCTTGATAATTCCGTCAATAAAATCGATAATATCTCAACTTCTGTTTTAACTGAAAAACATTCAAAAAAATTCCAAAAACATCGGTCTAATGCAGCTATAAGATTGCAAAAGAGTGTAACTGCTACTGAAAAATTGGCAGATATAGGAAGAGAAAAACTGTTAATAAAGAAAAGATATTATGATAAAAAACTTTCTTTACTTGAAAAACAGACCGAACTATTATCTAGACAAGTATTCTCATATGAAAAACAAACTTCCGTCTTAGAACAAATTCAGGGTGATTTGAAAAGTATTGCTTCTATTACTGCTCATTTTTTAATCTAAATCATACTTTTTTTATTATTATTAATTAGTATTTTATGAAGTCTTTTCATACCTATTGTTTTGTTTTATTTTTTTATTTTATTATATATTCTACAAAAGACTGTTATCTTACCTATATCAAACTATAAGTCAATAAGATATTATTATGTATTTATTAGTTGGCTCATATATTCCTACTATGTATAATTCACTTTTTACTATTTCATTAAGGGTTTTCATACTTATTGTTTTGTTTTATTTTTTTATTTAATTATATATTCTACAAAAGAGTTGTTATCTTACCTATATCAAACTACAAGTCAATACGATATTATTATGTATTTATTAGTGGGCTTATACATTCCTACTATATAAAATTCACTTTTTTTATTATTATTAATTAGTATTTTATGATGTCTTTTCATACCTATTGTTTTGTTTTATGTTTTTATTTTATATATATATTAGATACAAAAGACTGTAGTATAGGTAATACAAATAAATATATTAATATATGTTTATGTCATAAGTATTTATTGATCTTATATTTTTTTTAAAGTTGTGCATACATATTTAATACAATATAGGTAATTGAAATTAGGTATATTTCTAAGCAAAGTATCTTATAACACGGTGCTGCATCCTTCTACCAGCTACTAAATCTTCATTTAAGCCTTGTATATCTTGTCTTTCATTGTCATCGACTCCAAATATTCCTAAGTCAATTTCTTCCACATTACCATCTTCATCATTTTGAAATTGTACATTATTCTCAATACATATATTGTGTAAAACAGTGCAAGCATTTACTATTTTACAAGCTTTAACTGGAGAATAATGTAGTATTCTGTGTTTCAACAAGCACCTATTTTTAAATATTTAGAAGTTTTAATAAATATAAATAAATAAATGTATAATAATGATAATATTAACATGCCGAAAACGCATTTTCAAAAGACCAATACATCTTTCAATCAAGCTTCTAACATGTTTGAATCTACGATTGTATCTTTCTTCAGGAGTATTTGGTTGATATTGCATTAAGGGCGTCATTAGCCAAGGCCTCAAAGGATAGCCGGAATCTCCTGAAAACATATTAATTTCTTTTAGGCTAATTAAATGCAAATAAGATGTGTTGCCTAGAGAATATTTTAGAGCAAACAAGTGCAGTACAATATGACAAATGTGTAGTTTGAAGCAAATTGTGGTGTTAAAAATAACACTCAATAGTTAATATTGAAATGGAATATTAATTTAAGGACATACCTAAAAGATAAAATCCTTCAGGATTATGATTATATATTCTCCTGAGTGTAGGTTCAAGTAGAGAGTTGTTCCATATATAAGCATCATTTACACTCCCAGGAAATAATGCTGAAACATTTATTATTTTCATGTCGGAATCACAGACCTTTAAAAAAAAGTTGTCATAGATTATAAAATACTACTTATAGTAGTATCTTTAAATTTAAAATAATATAATATTGTTAATCTATATTCTTACTAGCTGAACATTTATGCTATGATAGTTCTTCCTATTTACATAAATGTACTCAGGATAAACAGGATCATCGGTTTTGGGAGGAAATATTCCAATATGTGTACAATCTATAATTCCCACTATTCCAGGAAAATTGTATTTTGTATTAAATCTATAATAAACCATTGAAATATATTTTCTAAAATATACCTATCATGTCTTAAAATATATGAATCTATTTATTTTACTTTTCTCTTGTTTGTCGTAGTTCTATTAATGTTGATGGGTATTTTACCCAATATTTGAAAATTTCTGGTTGATTCAAAGCATTAACTACTTCATCTATCGCTCTTGAAACAGTTGGCTGGGAAACAATCGCTAAATTACTGTTCCCAACGGGAAGTTGGTAGGAACCAGTTGCAAAGAAATTCAAAGCTATGAATACCTAATATGAAATAAACTAATAAATAACAATAATATTTATAGGGATCATTATTTAAGTAAGTACTTACTTTAGTCTGTATATTTAAGGCAGATGTCCTTGTTGCTTCTGTCATATGAGGAGTTAATATGTTTATGACATATCTTACTAAATCTTTTGTCAGTCTATAATTGTTTATAAAAATATAATCTGGTAATAAAAAAGCATCAAATCGTTCACTGTGACTAAGCTTTCGGTAATTTACTGCATTTTCTTGCCGTTCTAAGTTTTCTAATGCAGCTATATAAAACTCATCCATACTCTTGTAGATTTTTATATCAATTATAAAAAAAATCACGAGTAAGTAACGAGATCACGATAAATTACACTAAAAAGTCAATAACGACCAAGAAAATGGGTGATAGAATAGAAAATAATAATACAAGTATATACAACTCAAATAATAGGTAACAGTGATAATCAATTTCACCAGTGAAATAGGTAGGGATAATTTATCGTTTTAATTATCAAATTAAATTATCAATAATTCATTCAAGAATATCAAAAAACGATAATTTCAATTTTCATGTGATAATTAAAGAATATCACACGTGATAAATTATCACTTCGATTCAAGAATAGGGCCCCATGTACAATTATTAATAAAGTGAAAGAATTCGATACTTAGGAGTAATAGATATTTGATATCAATTTAAGCTGAAATTGACATATTAACAACTTATTAGGGAAGCTTCGCTTCATAACTTACAAGTTACTCAAAGTTAATTATATTGTACAAAAATATACAATGAGAATAATAATTTACTATGCACTTTATCAATATAATTTTCAATATAGTATATTAGTATGGGTTGGTCTTCGTGATAACTAAATGCACTATAATAGTTAACCAAAATAACATTGTTAGAATTTGTCTAAATAAATGTACCTACTGTTAGAGGATCTATAAATCAAAACAACAGGGAATTTATTTATTACAGGGTACCTACTTATACTAAAAAATAGTAATTATGCATTTATTTAAAAATGTTAAATTAGACAATCACTATATAAACTTATGCAATTAAAGAGAATTAAGAAATATTATGATTTTCCTGTTAACTATGCCAATAAATCTTTTGATCAGTCTTATTATTATTATTTGAGACCAATATTAATTAATTCTATGAAATTTGAATTTAAAAAAAATATATAATAATAGGTGATATACCTACTATGAATATTAAATATGTAGTAGGTATATAAATATTTATTTATGGAATTGGAGAAGAACACTCTGTTAATATAAAGTTGGTTCTGTTTTTTATTGTTTAATTATTTTTAGACGTCATGCTATATTATATTAAGATTATATTATGCTCATACATTTTGCTTAAGCATATTACATTTGGTTAGTAACTTTCATAATTTCTCATAACTATTATACCTAGGTACCATCTAATAACAATAAATAAAAAACAACAAAGTTCATAAACATAATAATACTCAGTTGAAAACTGTTAAAAAAAAAAAAATAAATGATGTCTTAGGTATACCTATAGTATTCATGTGATAGGTTTAGTATCATTATTAACCAAACATTTGAAAATAACTAAGTACTTACCTAAACCATTTTAATATTTTTAACGATTGGGTAGTACCTACCTAACGATTAATAATAAAAAAAATATTTTCATCAATTTTGTTATATTTTTCTTCCAAATTATGAATAATACCTATTTAATATTGAAATAGGTCTTAGCAAAAATAGAAATTGTTTGAAAATGTACCTATGTAAATAATTAGAATTTTTTTTTTTTGTTTTTTATTTTATTGGATGGTTGCAGCTGTTATAAAATGTCATAGGTATGCAATAAATAACTGTGCTTCATAAATCAGGTTAAAATTATATTCATTAGCTAAGAAGAATAAGAAAATGTCTTCATATAATAGAGTAAAAAAACATCGCCAATTGAAACGTTCCGCTGTTTAAGAATCAGTAGTATCAAGTAATGAATCAGGCATTGTTGAACCATATCCAAATATGCCAATAGAAAATCCAGATTCTTCGACATATTTATTTTTTAAAGATGATGTTGATGATCACTTGACCGATTCCTCTTTTGAGAATACTAACCAATCACCAAATTATGACGAATGTTCTGTGTCTTCTCTGTCATTAGAAGAATCATCTAACTCAGATGGAGCCTCTTGTCAAGGAGGTGACAGTCAAAATATAAATGCTACAGTCACTACTTTCCTTGACAGATTGCAAGGTTGGGCTGTGAAGTTTAGAAATAACCTTACAGTTGAAGCAATAGATGGCTTATTAGAGGTGTTATGGACTGATCATTTTTATAGCTTACCAAAATCATCAGTTGGTTTATTAAAAACAAAATCAAATAAAAACATTAAGATTATGATTAGTTCAAAGAACACTAACTGCTCTTATGTGTACTTTGGTGTTGAAGAAAGTTTGAAAGAAATAATAACTGATGAATATCTAGATGACAGTATACGTTTATTATTTAACGTGGATGGTTTGCCATTGTTTAATAATTCAAATGAACAGTTCTGGCCTATTTTGGGTCTTATCATACATAGTGAATACGAATCAAAACCATTTATTGTGTCTGTTTACAGTGGTGATGCTAAACCAAAAAGTGTAAATGAGTTTTTTGAAGATTTTGTTGAAGAAATAAAAATGTTGGTTCAGAATGGAGTGACGATTGAAACTCGTATATTCAAAGTAGACATTATTGGATTTACTTGTGATACACCTGCAAGATCATTTCTTAAGCAGTGTAAAGGTCATGGAGGCTTTTATGCTTGCGAGCGATGTGAAATTAAAGGCAAGACTAAAAACAAAAGGAGAGTATATCCCAGTGTAAATTCTAAACGACGCACTAAAAAAAGTTTTATTAAACAACGACAAGCTGAACACCATCTGGGAGAAAGATCACCTTTATTAAGTATACCACACTTTGACCCTGTAAAATCAGTATTCTTAGATTCAATGCATTTGCTATACTTGGGAGTAATGAAATGGATATTACATAAACTGCTCGGGACAAAAAGAGTTGATCGTAGATGCAAAATTTCTCGTCCAAAAAAAATTCTTTTAAATTCTACCTTAAAAATATTTACTAGATTTTTGCCTAAAGAGTTTCAAAGAAAAAAGTTTGAATTAGATGCGCTAAGTAACTGGAAGGCAACACAGTTTCGTTTCTTTTTGCATTACTGTGGTGCTTTGGTGCTACGTAAATGCCTTTCTAAAAATATGTATCATCATTTTCTACTATTAGTAGTTGCGTGTAGAATACTTTGTGATCCTGAACTATGCACTACCAAAGTCAACTATGCAAGACAATTATTGAAGAAGTTTTTTGAGCTTCTTCCTTCATATTATGGAACAGATTCACAAGTGATGAATAATCACAACCTAATTCACTTGGCAGACGATGTGGAACACTCAAAAATTAATTTATCTAAAATTTCAGCATTTCCGTTTGAAAATTGTCTCGGTAAAATCAAACGACAGATTGTTGGAAAAAATAATCCTTTGGCTCAGTTGATTAGAAGAATGTCTGAACAGAAAACATGTCCACTAACAGCTAAGAAGAATGCTATACATAAAAAAAATTATCTTACTGTTAACCCTGACATTTTACATTCAAATAAGAACAATGTTAAAAGTGTTATTTTAAATGGAGTTAAATTAAGTAATTTTAGACCCAATAATGTTGTTTTACTCAAATCAGGTGAAATTTTTAATATATTTAGAATAAAAAAAAAAACGGGAAAGTATTTGTTTGTATGGGTTTACATTCAGTACTATCTCAGATGTTTTCAAATATCCATGTAATTCAACAGAAGTGGGGATCATGAAATTGGGTAAATTATCAAGAAGGAAAAAAATTATTCCTTTAGAAAATGTACACAAAAAATGTGTCTTCTTTGAAAATGGCCATAGCAGTTTTGTAGTTACTTTTCTTCATAGTTCATAAACATTACTTTTACAAAAATTATTTTAGTTACTTACCTACTATTATTTACTACTTATTCTATTAAAAATAGTGTTAAGTCAATAATGTTTTACAATATATATTAATACCTTATATTGTTAAATATTTGTTTTTTTTTTTTTTTGTTCTTTAATTAAATTTTTGTGTTATGTAAATGTTAAATTTATGTTTTCAGTTTTATAATTTTTTATTGATCTGACAAATTGTTATTATAGATATGGATTATAAGAAAGATATAACACATTTCATAATTAAATTTATGGAAAACAACAAATATGGTAAAGCAAATATTGACCTAGTACCAATATCGTGGACCTATTATGTGGAAGGCAAATTGTATTGCAAATATCCGAAAAAAAAAGATTACCATAAAATAGATAAAATGAGCAAAGTTTCATCTATTTATGGGTCTTTGTGGAAAGGTTATGAAGTGAATGTGATTAAAGAAGTTCGTGAGTATTAAATTTTGATTTTAATTTTAAATTTTGAACGGAGTTGTATCAATGTATTGATTTTACAATGAAGTGGTTTTTTTTTTTTGTCTGGGGACAAGATTTGGAGCAGTAATAGTGCTACAATCTTAAAAATCAAGGGTGGTTATGTATAATATAAGCACATATTTTCTCATTAATAGCTTGATCTCCAATATGGTATTTTAGGAAATTACAATCAGGGTCTCAGAAGAATGAACAGGGCATTCTCAGACACATTAGTTCACAGCAGCAATGTCGATGATCAATGTAGCAGTCAAGAAGAAGACGACCCTATTAATCTAAGTG